ACTTTTAAGCCTTAGCTTCTGCTATTCGGAAGGACTTTTGCTTCTTCTTATGATTCTGACTCAGATGACTCATACATGGTGTCTCCTCAATTATTGTGCGAGACACTGTACAGATGCAGATCAAAATTTGATTGGCTGTGCCCACACAGTCTTTGAAGTGTCAAAATAGCAATACTTACCTGACATCAAGTTTTCTGATATGCATTGTGATTTATTTTTCTAGCAAAGTTTTGTAAATGCTACAGACTTTTGATACTGTGATGAGTTAGTGGGTGGACTAGAGCTCTAAGTTAGAAATCTTCACTATAAACAGCCAATGTGCTGTATACAACAAGAGCACATCTTTATCAATAACAACAGAACACACACTGGTCAGAGGTCAACAGCATCTATAACTTTAACCACAACAGCATAAAACTCTTAAAATATACATTTCACACAAATGATGAGACATGTTTTGCCCGAAATGAGATGAGAATCCATGAGAGCATATCTCTGTGGCCTTTGGCTGTTATTGCACACCTCACCTTTCAAATGTCTTTTACTGGGGACCGGTTTCATATCGTGTGCGGTCCATCTGCACGCCATCCTGGGAAACTTCCTGCCTGAATGCGTCCTAATAATTAAAAATGGAATTTATAGTCTGGAGAGCATGGCTCCATTAATTTTTAATGTTTTTTCTAAATGGGAATGGAAGGACATTATGTAAGAAAATACATCACACTTCAGACGTCACACAGCACAAACATTATTATGCGTCACTTCGCCAGTGAGTCTACTTTAAGACCTGAAAGTAGTCTGCAGCTGTTAAAATATCTCTGCACATTTTATGCTCCGACAACAGAAGTGCATTTCAAAGAACAGAGATTTCATGTTTATATTCTTCCTGTTTTCATTGAGACACAGTTCATTTCCTCACAGCTGCACAAGAGGCACATTTTCATGCCTGCTGAAAACCCATATAACACAAGCTAGTACAATTAGCCTGGAAAGTCTCCTCTCTCCCCGAAGTGCCTTTTCTTTCACCCTTTCATCTCCCCATTTGCATCATGAGCGAGCTATTTTTGACTGTCTTCTGCTTTAGTGATGAACACCTCCAACAAAAACAAATCGGGACAACCGTCTTTGTGGAGAGTCTTTTTGTGTTTTGTTGTTTTTTTACTCAAGGCAAGCTGGTTTAATCACGTCGAGATGTCTGCTTTCATTTAGCAGCTTTTCCTCCTCGCCTGGTCTGATTGTTTTTCACAGTTATTTTTGTTTTTATCCTGAGACATTTTGACAGCCAAAGCAACTGGCTGTCTTGCTTGAAAGCCCATGATCAATAGATAAATTGGCTCAGAGGGCATTTTTTATATGGATTAGTGAAGGATTTCACTGGAGCTTATCCTTGTGCACATAAACACATACATTCTCAGACATTAGGAAATGCAAAGGGGTCTTGTTACCCCCTGTTAGATTTCCACAAGTCCACATAACCACCCACTACAGAGAACAACTAAGTTCATTAATAAGATGGCTCTATGTAAAGATGATTTATTAATTTAAAAATAATTTATTGTTATACGAAGAGAAAAATGGTCTCTTTTCTGTTTCTGTTAACAGAGGTTTCTCCTTAAATCATGTCCTTGCAGATGATTTATCTATCATAAAACTAAATATTTTTTATTCAAGTTAAAACATCAGCCTGTTCATTTGATTTAATTCTCTTAAAACTTTTATCAAAGGTGTCAGATAAGGTGAGCACAACTTCTGCAGTAATAACTGTGTCAGTTTTCTGTCCTCATCTGGCTCTTCTTCCCCTTGAGATTTTACAATGTCAGACCTTTAAATATAAAAGAGACACATATCACAGCCTTTGACACCGTTGTTATTATCACAACTCTTTATTTACTTTGCTGCCACCAGCAATGCAGCAGGGGATCATGTGACACTTCCTTCTGTCAGAGATGATAATGTCACATCTTTGCCTGCCAACTGTCATTATTGATCTAATCACAAGACCAACCTGAGATGGAAACCATGAAGTTTTGCCACAGTGTCAACAGGCAGTGGAGAAATGTGCAGAAATATGTGAATTAATTTGACATCAATAATTGGTCTGCTAAGCCTCGAAAGAATACATGCAGTGTACTCTCATTTTTATGTTTTTATCATTGACTGTATATCACTACAGACAGTTGGCTCCCGTCTCCTGGACCACTGAGAATAGAGAGGCAAAGATGCTTCATAGATGCGTGCTGTCATATTATGCCTGTAATGCTGAGGCATGCTCAAAAGCAATCCAGCTACAGGGAACTAGTATGTCACAGCCAATCAGCATCAAACTTACCAGTAAATCGTCAAAAGCTGCAGAGGTGGGTTTCATCCAGACCAGACTTGGATAACTGTGGAAGTTTGGATATGTGATAGTTGTTGTTTTGTTTTCTCCTGCCATATTTCCTCTCCTTCGTTAATCCACTGAAGAACTCTAGAGGAGCTTCTTTTTTTTTTTTCAAGAGAGCTGTGAATCATCTGTTTAAAATCGCATAACTAATTAAAACTTTAACTTCTCAGAAAATTGACTGTAAAATGAGTTAACCAGATGACAGAAACCTAGTTTGAGAAATGTATATTTGACTGTTATTTAAATTTTCTGTAGATTGACTCATGTTTCCCCAGTTACGATAGAGGACAGGGGCTTTATGACCAAAGACTGTAAATAGAATGGACATCGTCTGCCTCCTCACTGGGTGAAGTTACTCCGAGAACAGCACACCCTGGTTAAGAGCTGCAGTATAGGTCATAAATCTCGCCTCCGCCAGCCATCTTTATGGGAGTGTGGACAAACTTTAGAAGTTTATTACACAGAACATAAATTTTTCTCCCCCCTGGTTGCAATGTTGACATGAAGTTGTTGTAAGACTGGTTTGTGCTTAAGTCCTCTTTTTTCTGTACAGCTCCATTTTTAAAAGTTATTAAGGGGTTCATGATTTCTATGATTGACACCTGATACAGCCTATGGGTGCACGAAGATTGCATAGCTCACCCGGGGGATACGCTGTTTGAGCCAAGCGTCATCACAGCGACTCTTGGTGACTCTCCCGCCAAATGCGTGCAATGCTACTGCTTAAGTGGTGGAGTGAGTACAACGCTACTGCGCAAATCCGTATACTGGCGGACAGTAGAACCAAGTTGTCCATAGTATATACAGTCTATGTTTATAACCTATACTGCAGCCAGTCATTAGGCTACAAGCATGAATTTCCATTATCTGTTGATGTGAATTGACAATGTCTCTAATGCGGTTTTTCAGTGATACTTAATGGATTTGTTGTTCTTGTAGTATACGAGAATTAATATCCTAAGACTGGCTCCTGGTGACAAAAATGTGACTAATAACAACGTGCACTGGAAAGATTTGATTCTATTTCAATCACCCAGGACCAACAAGGAGTTTTTCTCCATGGAAACCTGAAGGTTAGACTCTTGCTCCAGGCTCCAGGCTTGTCAGCAGAAATGAATCGATTGTTAAGTCTAACTCTCCTGCTCCTGATTGGTTGCCATCTGGGGAATATAGTCCACAGCTGCTGCAGGGATTGGCCCGTGCCGGCTAAGCAGAAAATGATCACAGTAGATTTAAGAACATTCAAGGGAGCTTCAGCGTGCTTAGTCTGCAAGGTCACTGTGCATAAAAGCCTCCCTGTTACTTTTCTGGTCTGCATATTCAATCACTGCTGCCTAATGAGTTGTACAAATTGAATCATGTAGAGGTTGTTTAGTTCAACTCCAGGTTCAGATTAGACTGTGAGAGGGACATGGTCTTTGTTTTTCATTGTCAGCCCTACCATTCTTGCATGTGTGGACTTCAAACTACAAAACCAACACGATAAAACTGTAAAATCAAATGTCTCTTCTACATGGTTTCAGTATTATGTGTGTATGTTGTTACTCTCGTGTGCACACAGGCTGATGGTAATTGTGTATAAGTCACGCTGATCTGTTAAACGTATTTGTTGTCCAGTTTATTCCGCTGAGACCAGCTTATACTGTTGTTTCTGTACATAGCAGCTTATTCTGACACAGAAATGAACTAACTCCCTGTTTGTTTCATAGCCTGCAGGAAAAGTCGTCTGTGCATTTGTTATTTTCAATAACTCTAAAAATACATTCAGCAGAATGTAAGACGTTAGTTTGCTGAATTGCTTCCACGCTGTTCATATTTTGTTAAACAAACCTGTCATCTAACACGCCACGCTGCATGACGGGGCTGTTTATTTATTCAAGGGTTTGCAAAAAAAAATAAAAAAGTAAAAGTTCTTCAGGGAACGCAGGCTGCTCACTGTGTGTTTTCTTAAGTGCTTATGTGCAAGATTGTTGGAGCTCAGAGACAGGACATGTGTAATATGTTTGACAGATTATATAATTTTGCTTGCCAATAATACTACTACTTATAATAATGCATTTAATGAAAAGTAAAGTCCACCCTCTCTAATTTTGTCTCTTTGCATGTTAATTTATCTTATGTAATAAATTTCTTACTTGTGTACTTTTCTGGGCATTTTTTCCCACACTAGGGCAAATGTCTTGGATACTCAAACTTTTTACTTCAACAAATCCTTCCATCCATCTATTTCTTCACCGCTTATCCTGTACTTGGTTTCCTTGGCAACTGGGTGATCAGAGACACACGGGCATCCTTTTCTCCAGCATTATTGTTCAGCTTCTCATGGACGAAACCTGAATGCTCCAAAGCCATCTCTACAGGAGGCCCTCAGCATTTCGAAGGTGTCCTCCTGACTCAGACTGTAGATAAGTAGACACTCCATGCTTCGAAGACATACTAAGAGGTTCTTGCTAACTCATGCATGATTGGAAATATATGCATTGCTTTCTAACATTCATGGTTTACAGAAACAGTATAGATATCAAGATACAAACAAACATGGAGGATTTTATTTATTATAATTATTAATATTATCATTGCCTGTCTTATGGGCTCTTTTTGGACACTGTTTCATTTTCTGCATGTTGTTGATTATACAATTTTAGCTCCCTACAAACACAGTTTCAGCAGACTGTGTTGTGAACTCCATATTCTATCTCACCCATGTACCACTGCAGCATATCATTGCCTTGTTTTGATGTTTTGTGTCTTGTGTTCATTGATTTGTGTCCCTTCTTTCTTGTAAAAAAAACAAAAAAAAAACATGGGGGATAATCCACTTCATCAGTTGGCTGTCATCATGTGTGTTCAGTTTTGCTGCAAAGACAGAACTTAGACAGCCATGTTTGTGAGCTGTAAATACAAACACTGAGTTGTTAAGACTTCCCAGTCTGCCCGCTCCATTTGTTTTTACAGGGTTTCTGTCAAAGGCAGTCCAACTTTAAATTGTAAATATCAAACATGTTTGAGTTGAGTTGATGAGTTGGTGTGCAGACATGATTGATACAACATGACAATATACAGTAGAAGGAAAGATATAGACTCAGTGTGCAAAGACCTAAAGTCATACATTACTCAGACTGTTATGCAGACATACTCTCTGTTAATTGATGATGTGGTAATGACTGGTGCAAGAATGAATCAGACATTAGTTTATGATTAAGCAAACAATGTCTCTATGGAGACCTGCAAAACTCATCTACAAACATATCTGTTTAGACAGACACATAGGTAATTCCTATTCAGTAATTCCACTTTTCTTAACTATGGTGCCACTTATTGCTTATGATTATACATTTGTTTGCCTTAATTAGATTTTCCTACTCTTCTTGAATAGTGAAAATGTTTTATTTTGTTGTTTTGTATTTTTGACGTCTTTTCTTATTATTGTTCATGACTTTTTGTGACACGCTTTGTGATTTTGGTTACACTTTATTTGACGCCTATCTGCATTATAAATATATGTATAATACATTATAATCACATTATAGCACTGTATAACTATAGTTGTAAACACTAATAAATGATCATTATCCTTTATAGCAATAATAATAACACATTATAAAGCATTTTATCATGACTTACGAGGTCAAGTATTATAATGTGTTATCACTGCTAACAACTCACTGACAACGGCCACATAGATAATGCATTACACATATGTTTATGATGCGTTATAATTTGCATATAAACTTGTTTAACTATCATTATAAACACTCATTAATTATCATAAGGCTTTACAACAATAAGCATAACACTTTATAATACCTGACCTTGTAAGTTCTGATAAAATGCTTTATAATGTGTTATGATTATTGCTATAAAGCATTATGATCATTTATGAGTTTTTATAACTGTAGTTTTTCAGTACTATAATGTGATTATAATGCATTATACATATATTTACAATGTGTTATAGAGATAGTTGTGAAATAAAGTGTTACCCTGATTTCTGTCTGTGTAAAGTGCGATATACAAAAGTTTACTTACTTAGTGCCAAGAAAAGCTTATAAGATGAACTTTACTGTAGAGGGTTACCAGTGTGTGTTGGACATTTTGGAGAATGGTTCACCTTGAATCCTTTATATTCTCATTATGGATCTTCATCCTCCTCCTCCTCCCCCTCCTCACATGTCTGATGGCCTGGTGTGAAGCTGAAAGTGAGAGGGTTGGGCACCGTAAAGAGGGACAGAGACTCAGGCACATACAGCTGGCTTAGTCCTGCTGTACAAACATGCTGTTACACACACACACAAACACACATGCCTGGCTGAATGAGGCGGCTGCCCAGTGAATGAGAGAAATCAATCGTCCAGAAGAGTAACACTCAGCTGCAGATGAAGATGTGATGAGGGGCTCTGTGAGTTGGGGACTGTGTGTGTTTCTTAAGTGATAAATGTTTAATAGGTGCACAGATTCATTTTTCAGTGAACTGTTACCTGCTTTGATTGTCAGTTATATCCCATCAACTCTTTGCGTCACTAAAGACGACTAAATCAATTCATTTGTTTTGCATATCAAAACCCCTCCAAGCTGAATTTTCCCATAGATCCTGAAGTGTGCACTCAATATTTACATTCTATTATTCATTATGGTATACAAAACAGAATTACGTCATCCTCTGTGATGCCTACAGACGTTTGTTTCCAGCACATATGTCATGGCTGTATTTATAGAAAGTTGTCAGAATCGGCGCCAAGATAAATTCTGCCAATGACAGATGGTACTTCTCAGAGAGCCACAGCCCCTAGTCAAAAGCATGACATAAAGAGTCTATAATGGCTGAGAGAGGATTTATCAAACTAGCATGTTTTAAAGCAGGAAGGAAATATGTTTGTGTGGAGGTTTTAGTCACTGATCATGATCTTGACTTGACAGATTCACCTCAGTGAGTCCTTTTTTAACCGCCGCTAACTGAATTTCCGCCTCCCTGTTTAGATTTCCTGCGAGTGTGCAGCAGGAAAGTATTTTTGGTCGTCTTTTAATAACCGCCAGTTTCGATGTGATCCATCTTTAGCCATTCAGACTGGAGCACCTCTGACGCTGATGATGATGTAAGAGCTTCTGGGATGAGACTGTGAGGGAGCCATCATCCTTGTGATTCTGCTTAGACAAGGATGCAAGAAAAACAAAATCTTCCTGCTGCATGATAATTTTATTGCACTGAAACAACTGCAAATATCAAACTTCTGGATATTTCAAAGTCCTCTTTTCCTTTCTTTTCTTTCATAAAACTCATTGCTCCTGAAGATAAGAAAGGTGATTAATGAGATTCTCAAAGCAATAACAGGAGAGCAACCTCCAGTGTCAGGGGTGAGTTTCCCCACAGCCAAAGCCCTGAAATATTTATTTGAAGTTCTCCTGTTGTGACCCTGACTTCAAGGATTTCTGTGGGCATTGGGGCAGATTGAGCTGGAGCTGAAAATAGTATTTGATTGGTTTAAAAAGAATACTCATAACCCACTTTTTTCACATGTCTTAAAATCAAAACAGAAGCACAAAAACAGGATCACATTTGGCAACAACTATCATAGTAATATTTAAGAAGATGAGCAAGACATACTCGCCAACAGAAGGTGTGTTTCTTAAAGGGCATCAATATAAATTTTGGTGGCTATTTATATTTAGACCTGGCCCTGGACTTTTTCTGGTTTTAGTTGAAGAAAAGTCAAAACATTTGAATCATTACTCTTAATAAAAACATTTCCTGCCTTCATATTCTATCAATCAGTCAGAAAACGGTATCAAGGTTGTGTCAAGGTTTAAATCTGCTCCCAAATGTGTCGCCAAACTAGGATAAAATGAGCTTTGGACATGGAGCTGTTAAAAAAAAGGCAAACATTGAACTGACGTGGCCCCACTATCTCTTTGCCTCTTAATTGACAGGCAGCCGGAAAAGTCGATAAAAATCAGAAGTATGGAGGCACGCACAGAGGATTTCTGTGCACTAGTTGCAGACAAGTGACAAAAGTGACCCTGCCTTCTTAAAGGTCCTTACATACCTGGAGCGTTTTTTTGTGTGCAATTATTTCGGACGTCAGTTTTTTTTTCGAACCCATAATACAAGCGTTCGACTTTGGCAACGTTTTTTCCTGCGATATTGCGGCATTTATTTTTTCGTATCATGGTTGAATTTTCTAAAGTTTTGCATACTGTGTGTCCACTTCTGACCAATCAGATTGCGTGTTGTTGCAACGTCAGATTCACCAGTATATCCAACATGACCGACTGGCTGATTGTTTACATGTCAGAGAACAGAGTGCTGTTTGATAAAAGACACATACATTACAAAGATAACGACCTGAAGGACAACTTGTGGAGAGTCATAGCATCAGATTTCTCATATGACGATGGTTTGTGTGCTTTAACAGTTTGCTAAACGTCTTTGTTTTAACTCTGATCTGTGCTAAGTAACTTTAGCTCGTAAGCTAACCTGTTCAGATACAACATCCAAAATGTATTTTCACTGTCTCAAACTCAATCATATTGCTGTCACAGCACCATTAGGTCTCGGTTGTTACCTTATGTTCATGGATTATAGTTTAATGTGCTTATCTGGTACTGGCCCCGACTCAGTACATGCTATCATGACAGACAGCCATCTCAACACTAGTGTTTAATCAGATGCTGACTGATGACAAGCTGTATACCGTGGGCACAAAACTGGCATATACAGAAGACTAGGACAGTCTGGATCCAGTGTTTGACACTGTAACCATATGTGAGATAAAATACAAATAATACATACTCTGGATTGTGTCCTTGACAACAAAACTCCCCACTGTGCTGTGCAAAAAAACACAACTTCACTCAGTAATTCCTGTGTGCATTTTCTGTATTTGTTAGATACAGCTCCAGTGTGCACACATATGTGACACACAACATGTTCAAACAAATGCTCCTCCAAACACTCATCCCTACACTCTAGTTTCTCTCCTCCTACTTTTTTCTCTCCTTCACACTTCCTCTTGCCCTCATTCTCACTTCCATCAATCTCCCCCCTCTATAACTTCCTCTCTATTTCTCACTCTCTCTATTTCCCCACCACATTAGCCTAATCCCTTCCCCTCTCTTCCCTTTACATTTTAAACACTCCTCTTTGTGGATGAGGGGGCCATACAAAAACCACTCTCCCCCCCAGGATCCTTAAGTAGGTCTGACGTTGTTGCATGGAAGAGTGACGCAGATATATTCATGAGAGTAGGTGGTGTTGTCCTGAGGTGAGGAGCGAGACAGAGAAGGGGGTAAGGGGAGGGGGGTGGCAAAATAAAAAAAAAGGAAACAGGGGTTTGAGTGAGAAGGCTGGGAGAAGTGCGGGAAATGAAAGAAGACAAGGAAAGAGGCAGTGAGAAAGGGAGGCGACTGAGTGAGGCAGATGAAGAGGGGGAATGTGAGAGGGGACAGATTGATGAATGAATGTTTTTGCGCGCCACGGCGAGGCAAATGCCAATTTACTACAGCGGGCGAGTGTTTCAAATTGAAGTGATGTTAAGAAGCAGGCTGGAGGGGGAGTCTGGGTCTACTCAGGCTCAAAGCTTCCCTTTTGTTTCATCTGTGAATTCCTCCTAAGTGGAGTTTGAAAGACATAGATATCAACCCCAGAAATAATTGAACATTGCTGGAACAGTGCGTATCAAAATGGAAAGCTGCAGAGTTAAGTTGGATAAACTGTTGCTCTGTAAACTGCAGGCTTAAACACTCTGACCTCAAAAATCTTCTGAAAATGCTGCACAGAATTATCTAAAATAAGTTACCTGTTGACCTATTGCTGCCTTTTTAAACATTTTTAATGTAGAGTGTCGAGTTGAGAGCTCTCACTCAGACAAGTATTTCTCTCCGGCTCTGCTCCTCCCCATCTTCCTTTTGACATCTTCCTGAGGACTTTTCTTGTTGTCTCTCTCCCCTCTGCTCTCATTAAAGTGGCAGAACAGGAGGTGGTGAAGTATGAAGTAATATGGCAGGGTCTGGCCAAAGCAAGATTCTTGTCCTGTACCCCTGTCCTCTTTTTAACATCTCTCTGGTCTCTGCTGACCCCTTTCTCTCTCTCTTTCTTTGTATTCTCTCCTCTCTGAAACACCGGAGAGGGAAGGTGCCACTTAATAACCCTGGGGATATACTCACTGTCACTGCTCATCTATCCCCTTCATGCTTGGGTGTTAAATGTAAATAGAGAGCCATATGGTAGGTTATGTAACTTACTGTATCGGTATTGGGGTAAGGGCGAGATGGAAAAGGGTTTCTGTGTGAGCCAACCTTTTTAATCGTAGCACAAATACTTTGTTGTTATCTTAATTATAATATTGATATTTGTCCTATTAAATATCAGACAAGACACATTAATATTTAAAAAAAAAAAAAAGTTTTATGAACGAGCTCTGCTTTAAAGGGATATTCCGGCAGAAAATTAAGTGAGGGTCAAACACACCATAACACTGAATTAAACACCCCCTCAAAAGATGAGTGTTGCCGACTGCTTGCTTCTCTAGATATACCAATTTTAGTAACCACTGCAGGATAGCAATACACAGCGGTCGCAGGAGCCATAAACAAACCTCAACCAAAAAGCCACTCTATAGCAACAAATAATACTCAGAACAGCACCTAACTTCATCAACAGTACATATAGGGTCCCAGCCACAGCACTAGCCACCAAACATCTTTTTAGCTTTCCCTAATTTCTTTAGCAAAGAGACTAAACACAACTCACCTACTCTCTTCCAGCAGCCGCTTGTTTGTATGGAGACCTCTGGGCGAGTCCATTACAGCTGCAGCGGGGTGACGCAGCTCAAGGAAGAACATTTATGATCATTTCTTTATCATTTCCTTGAAGTAATAATCACCATATTAATCATTTTGCACTGCAGACGCGGTAGTTCTTCTGCCTTAGCGTCTTGGTCTGATTGCATTACCATGAAGAAATGATCATAAATGTTTTTCCTTGAGCTGCGTCACCCCACTGCTGTAATGGACTAGCCCAAATCTCTGCACAAACAAGTGGCTGGTGGAAGAGAGTAGGTGAGTTGTGTTTAGTCTCTTTGCTAAAGAAA